GGGGGGGGGGGGGGGGGGGGGGGGGGGGGGGGGGGGGGGGGGGGCAGGGCGGTGACAAGGGGTGTGAAATCGTGCAAAAGAGACAGTCTGAGGCCGCATCTAGGAATACCTCGGCCATCTCGTCGTTACATCGGTCTTCGATGGGCTGGTCTACCAATCGCGAGTACAAGCGTGATAAGATGCATGCGTTTTCTCAAAGTTGGATGGGTCGGTGGCTGGTCACCCTATTGAGGCACTTTGCGTACGGATCTCGCCAACAATGCCAACGATCACAAGCTACATTTAATAGAATGCTCCTCGAAGGCGGTCAAGGCCTCCACGATGACAGGGCCATGATACACATGATTTCGGACACCAAAAGCCTTGGTGCACGAAACAACAGTAGAGAAGCGTTTGACACACGACCCTTTTTTTTCAGGGGCACGTGAAACCCCAAAGGGAGTTCACGGGACTGTCAAGACTGAAACTGTAAAAACAACGCGAGAAGAACCAGACGTTCGTCGAAGTCTGCTGTATACACTGTCCCTCGGCAGTAGTTATATCTTATATTGCGGCGAGAGTCGTCAGACTCGACTAACACGCGCACCTGAAGAGTGCCCATGGCATCCAGGTACTTGAAGAGGAGCTCCAGCTCAGACATGGCAGCCACCGCATCCTGCGGCAAGGGTGAAAACGACAGGGGGCATCACGGATTTCAGACAATTGAGGGGGTTCACACCAGCAAACGCTCAGGTAGTTACTCAACGACAAACAAGCGTAACAAAATGACGACCGGAACACGACCGTACTACGTGCGGTCCAGAACCGGACCTTAAGAGTTGTCAACGTTTCTCCCTTTGCACGCCGGGTTTGGTCCAATCATGGAAGCTGCTGTCAGCTCTAAATGAGACCCAAAATACAAAATACAGCACGAAACGACTCTTGTCTCTTGTGCAGACAGACAAGAGAAAACACAGGAACGAACGGCTACACAGAAGCAACAACGCTATGCTACAGTAAAATTGCCTCCGTTTTCTTGGTTTCGAAGTATCCCGTCCATCACTCCACAACTAATAATATGTGTCCTGGCATCCCTTTTCATTCTGGACGCCAGACTGCACCTTTCGGTGGATATTCTAAAATATGTGCGTGGACGCAAAGGCTGGGCCAACTACATGAGAAACGATAAGCATCAGAAAAAAGAAACAACCGACGTACTCTCTGGCCATTTTCCTGGGTGACCCTGGCCGATTCGAGCAAAAGAAAGTGCCGAACATTGATGAAAAACTGACGTACAGAATACTTGTGTATGTGAAGATGCACGCACACATTTGCTTCTGGGGATGCTCGGCCTTGATTTTTAGAGACCCCGAAGCATCTCATCTAAATAAAACAACTATCGTGACGAGATAAGATCAAGCCGAACCATGCTAGCTGTCTCACGGGGTGGTCGCCGAACTTCTTCTCCTCTGTGAGCTTCGCCCACAGCTCCTTGGCGCCGCCGGCGTTTCCGTTGACGAACCCGCCGATCTTGTCCGCAGAATCCGGCGCCAGCCCCTTCTCTTCCACCATCTCCTGTCGAACCTATCCAATCCAATCAAAACAGCCGGCGGAAGAGCCGGCCAACACAACGCACTGCAGTTACGTCCGATGTACACTTGACCATCAAGTTGTATCGGTCGTACAGTGAAGTACATCTTTGCGGTGAAAACTAAAACACCAAGTTGCAGCGCGTACCATGCAGTTGCAGTGTTTGCGTCATCGTGCGTTAGCCCTTGGCTCGTGCGCACTGTCTAGCAGGTGCTGATAGGGTGTGTCTGAAAGCGATCTCCCACCTCCTCATTGGAGGTCAACCAGGAACCTCGCCGCCCACTTGGGGATTTCGCAAAAAGCATGTGCGCAGAGCTGCAACGACTCCGGCGCTTCGGCGCGAGCGAGTTGTCCTCGCGTAAGAGTCACGCCACGCATCTACAAATCCACAATCTCAGCAACGTCACCACGCAAAAGGCTGTCGGAAGACCGTGTGGGAAAAGGACCAGTACATGCATACCTCGGCCCAGTCCATCTTGTCGAGCTTGTCGATGGCCGAACAGATGCTGCGGAACTTCTCGGGAGGGCAGCCACAGATGTCAAGGATAGCGTCCAGCAACCTAGAGAAAAAAAAAAATCCAACACGTCACAGGCAGGCGACAGCCATTCAATCAACGATGAAGCCACGAGCAGTGGCTGGCAACTCCACCGCCCCAAACATTTCATACTTACAGTGGGGGAGGCATGCGGAAAATAAGGTGGTGCAAGTCACGTCCAAGTACACTCTCCTTGGAACATGCTCGGATGAAACATCCGCACACTGCCAAAAGAGAAGCGGGGACGAATCACAACCAGCAACAAGGAACATTCACCATAACATTCGAACGGGCCTCCGACATGTCTCTCTCGCATTGCCGCGAGGAAAAATTCAACCACGTGTTAGGTTAAGGTCCCGACTATCTGAGCTCCATACCTTGGGCGTACCGCACGAAAAGCAATACGGGCGCTCATGTGCCCCTCGAGAAACCACACCCTTCGTGCGGGTTTTCCCGTTCATGCCATACCCTACCCTACCATACCATCCAGTACAATACGGTACCTGCGGTGGTTGAGCTTGATCTGAAAGTTTCCGATAGGAAGCGCGCTCAGGATCTCACACGCCACGCTCAGCACCTCCGCGTCCGGCACCATGAGCCCTAAATAATAGCACCAACACATCACCACCGAGACATGCTGTGACACAGGACAAGACTAGTATATAGCGCTTTCGCGTGTTGGAAGTGGCCAAACAAGGACGGCAGAAGACTACCCTTTACGTACGTCTCTAGATCTAGCAAAATACGACCATCTCGTACCGTAGTTGCCGGCGATATCGAAATCGCACTGGTAGAATTCGCGGAAACGGCCGAGCTGTACGTTGGGCTGATCTCGCCGGTACACCTGATTCAAACGCGTGGGCGGACAGCTAAGTCAGCGAGGAGAGTGAGCGTTCAAGATATCTCGTCGCCAACCAGCTTCCTCCCCTCTCTTCGCACACATCTACATGTGACACATCCGGAGTACGTATCGGAAAGACAAAAATCTCCTAAAGGGTGGCATCGTACAAGACAACCCAAACGGCGTGAGCAGCAAAACCGTCCAAAGCAGAAGATAAAAATGGCCAAGGACAAGGACAGCAGTCTGTCCTACGCGACGCTACATACGGTATGCATGGCACCGGTATCACTGATCTCCGAAAAGAGCACTGCCCGGGGTGCCCACAGGTTGGTGTTTGTTTACCTTGGCAATGTGGAATCGCTTGATGTTACCGACACCGTGCAGAGCGAGGTACCTCGCGAACGGCACGGTGAGGTCGTATCGCAGGGCCAAGAGCTCGCCACCCTGGTCCGCCAGGTCGTAAATGAGCTTAGAGTCCTCGCCGTACTTCCCTGTAAGCGTCTGTGAGACCAGCAAGCACGAACACGATAGACGTGCGAGCGGGACTCCTAGGTGTGAGCGGGCGTACACAAGAGATAGATAGATGCACAACAGTGCTGAGGAAATCAAGCCTATCCATGTGCCGCATTCAATCATTGTCCCCAACACTGCAGCTATGACAAAGGATAGTGTTGACCACATGAATGGACACGTCACTTCTCCCGCCCTGCGATACATTCGTAGACAACAAAGGGCCTAACTGAAGGTATACGCAAACGTGCAATATCGTACTTCTGCAAAACAAGCCCTTAGAGGTGACGGCAACTGAGCCCGTCGGTATACACACACAGATACCTCCTTGAGCTCGAACACGGGCGTGTCGATTTCCACCGCCCCGTGGCGCTTGAACACGTTACGGATCGCTGTGAAGGCTTGCTCTCGAACGCGCATCTGACACCGATTCACCGATGCGAGCCGCGGGGTCCATCGCGCGACGAAACGAACGAAGAGAAGAGGGACGACGAAATCATCGCTACGTGTTTCAACCGGACTCTGTACACCAGCACCACACTCGGGGCTGCTGCTGCTGCTGCTGCTGCTGCTGTTGAAACACTTTGGATCTCGCGCGTGCTGCTGTCATGCGGTACAGTTTGGCACGAGACGGCGGTCATTGACTCCGTCAACGAGCTTGCTCTTTAGCAGCCTTCACAAGGAGGCAAGGCTCTTCTCTTGCCAGGCTCCCTGGCAACTCATGGATTGCGACGTCCAAGCTCTTAAGCCCACAAGGGGGTGTGCAGACCTCTGCAAAATTCCGGCGTACTGTACTGCTGTACGGCCTGCTTGGGGTTTCCTCTTGTGATACCTGCTCGGGCAAGAAATCCCTGGCTCCCTTGGCGATCTTCGGCTTGCGCTGGGCGCCGCCATTGCTCAATCGCTCCGCCATGGCACACAAGAACGGGCCCATCGCTTGCTGAGACCGCGTGCGACATAGGACAACAAGCGGCAAACAAGGGGCAAAAATCAACCTATTGTAGGACCATGGACGGTGTTTCACGGTACAGGGGAGAAACAGCAAAGCAAAGGAAAGGACACCGAAGGACCCCGATAATATGCATAGGGCTTGTCGACAATAAACGAAAGATCCGCCTTCCCTCCCTGTGCACGACCCTCTTTGCCAACTCAACCATCGGCCAGAACGCGATGCGCTATCGATAGAACAGCAAAAAACACTAGCAGCACCACAAAATGAGTGTGGACACTGCGCATTGAACAAAACCAAGCAACCCGAAATGGCCTTGCACGTGCACCTTGAAAGCGAGCATCACTTAATTTTGACGTTCACTGCAGCAGTTCCACGCACCACCCCCGTCTCACCTCTCCCGTCCGGAAGGGGTCAATCTTCGCCGCGATTTCGTCCGCCCCTACAGCAGCGGCGGCCCCGGCGGGCGCCACCCGCTGCTTCAGCTCCGCACACCCAACCCCGAGCCCGGCGGCCTTCTTCTTCTCCTTCTTCGCGGCGCGCTTGGCCGCCTCTTTCGCCGCCTTGGCCGCACGCTTGGCCTCGATCTTGTCGATTTGTGCGGCGGACATTCCGGCCGTGTCGACTCCGCCGCCGGGGGCACCTGACTGCGGCGGCTGAATTCCTCCACCGGTGGCGGGTTTCTGGGATGTTAAGCGGTGGCATGGAAGAGGAGATAAATCGAGTGTGATCCTCAACCAGCCAAATAGGGCTCGTGCGAAGTGGAAAAGGCTGGTAGTGATCGACGAAGGCATAGCGAGCACGTGGCGCTAACGTGCGGGTGTGTGTGACCTTGGCTTCTCTTCGATTGATTCATTGATTCCCTCCCTCCTCGTGGTGGCCGTTGGATCGGTCTCTTACCATGTCGCAGAAGAATGTTGCTTGCGTCAGGCGCGAAATGGCGCCTATTGGGGAGAAAAAACAAGGCAGTCCACAGCGCTCATCAACATGACAACGGGAAACAACAAGCGAGATAAGAACGCTCCAGAGTCAAGCAACACACATGTATTTTGACCGTTGAAAACGAGAGGTGCAACTCACGCTCGCCGACCCTGCAGCCGCAGCCGCCTTCTCTTCTTCCTGCCGCAACACCGCCACCGACAACGCCATCTCTTCGGCAAGAGCGAACTGCAGCTCCCGCAGCACGCCCTCCACCCCGGTAACGTCACCCCCGCCGCCGCCGCTGCTAGCGCCGTTCGCGCTTCCTTGCAGCGCCTGCGACCGCTCCCTGCACCCGCTGGTCAAGACCCTGACCGCCTCCGACAAGAAGGTCACAGTTAGTTCCGTCTGTCCAGCAAGGAGAAGGAGAACAAGGAGGGACAAGCGATCGAGAGGGCGCGAATCGCTTGGTGCTTGTGTGGATTTCCGGCAGGTGCGGAGGACGGACAAGGGACAAGGGAGACCATAACCCGAAGGCACGCAGGGGGGACGACAGTTGGGACGGGGAAATGACAGCCCGCCCTGTAACCCCCGTCTTCGACACGGGTGCCCATGCGATCTACAACTCCGTCGTATGCAAACACCCGCAAAAATTCAAGCATGCAGGACAATCCGTCACAAACGCAACAGCAGCACTGCACTCCGAGCTAACGGTTGAAGCCAAGAGATGATCAACCGACCTGCTTCCCGTCGCGAGGCTGAACACAACCGTCACCAACGCCGAGGGGCCCAGCATCCGAACCATTGAACTCAGTCATGATGGACCTGAAGCGACAAACAGGGTTAGGGTTCAACAGGGAATAAACGTGAAAACAAGGCTGGCGCTGGTGCTGTGCTGGAGGTCAATCACGACCACCACCATCTCCATACGCGTTACCTACGGTTGAACCAGGGGCATAAAATCGAACGCCGATTGATGACATTGCTGTACGTTCAGCTCGTTTCCGAGAAAACGGGTGATTTATTGACACGCCCCTAAGCGACCACCCGGTGTTTGCCATCGGGGTTGGGTTTTCGTCGCTTGGCAACGACGTTGTAAAACAAGCCAACTCACTTCGTGAACTCGGCAACCAGGTTACCGGTTTTTCTTTACCTGTTTTGTCTTGTTTTTGGCGGTTACCATAATGGTGGTCGAGTAGATCATGTTGTGCGGGGTGGAGAACCCTCGTTCCGCGCAAGGGGGATGATCGCACCACGTTGTGTTAAAATGGTCAAGCACCCTCGAGGCAGTTACACAGTGCTTACAACTGTCTCTGGAAGTGAAAGCACCAGAAAATAAATTAATTCATACGCAGCTGTCATCCGTACGCAAGGAAGTAAGCACAAGATGCCGAACACCCTTAGCAGGATGCAGCGCACCCTTCATGCGACTCGCCGAATATCTCACGGCGCTTCGCGCTTGGTGATGTGAGAGCCTGGTCCGGTGAGAACCCGGCGTGCTCCGTCCCGGCTTTGTAGGGATGCGAGGTCAATGGTCTAACGACTACGGCATGCACGACTATGAGTACACCCCCCCCAAGCAACCACCCGCTCGAACAATGACGTCATCACAAGATATCCACCCCCTTCCCCTTCTCGGCGTTCGCCGGAAACGAGACCGAAGACAGCGGGGCCTCTGTGGAGGTAGGCAATGCCGCTATCCGATACCAGCACCTTCTACCTCGCTGAAACGTCCCTACTCCGTTGGCAACATTATATGCATAGCTCGGTTGCCTCCTGTAGCTTGCTTGGCGGCTGCTGTCCTTACCTGCCGGCTGCAGCGATAGCGTCTCGGGCTGGCCCGTGATACTGCGGGATGGTGCTTATCGCCTCAGGGTCCACTGTACTGCCACTCTGTACGTGCAGTCAAGAAGGAAAGAGCGAGGATCGTGTAGAGGGCAAAGCGAGTTGCCGGTTGTCGGGCGAGGGTTGAAAGCCTGACAACCGTGGCGATGACCGTCGGAGAAATGATTGTTGAAGGGACTTCCCCTTGTTCTCTGGGGTTTGACTTGGTTACGTTTCGGCATTTTGGCGATCCCGATCGGCGCACCTTCGAAGGCCCATCTGGACTTGTCGCCTTTTCGTGGCACATCCCTTTGTTTCGTTCGCTACGTGAACGTCTAGTGCTTGAAAGAGGTGCAAGGAGTGAATGCGGGAGGGTGGGGCCTGTGCACCGTTGGGATGAATGTGTTGCTGACTTGTGTCCACCGCGAGGAGCGTCGGGATGTTACCCCAAGTGTTCTGTGATGGGACATCGGTAGGAGACCCTTGAATAGATCGATGAGTGGCGGTGTTGGGAGTGGTGGTACGGTCGACGGGTTCGCGATTGCGTCGAAAGTCCGTGGACAGTACCAACACTACCACGCAAGAGCACATCGATCTATTGACGGGTCTCCTCCCGATGCGCCATCAAACAGCACTCCAGGCAACATTCCGACGCTCCGTGCGCTTGATCAGCAACACACTTATCCTAACGGCGAAAACGCCTCGCCCTCCCTCGGTTCGCTCCAAGCTCCATATTGAAACACATGCCATCTGCTAAGTATACAACACGAAGGTCTGTCACAGGAAACGACGACAAGCCCACAAGGGCCTTCGAAGATGACCCAGCCCATCGGCAAGGCCGAAAGTGCAAGATTTACCCAGCCAAGCACAAGAGCACATGCAAGAGCCAGTCCCTGAAACACCTGTCAACCACGCGCACGTAACAGACATGCCGGCATCCAACAACAAGTTGCACGTGGGCGGACAAGGATTCTTTGGTGAGGATGAGCCGCTAATTTTAAGCTTGCTCGCCTTTGCAGGTTTGGCGGACTTGGAGCCCTCGAGCATGAGCCGCAGCCGATCGGCGCAAGCGATTTGCCCCCGGTGAGGCCGGACATCGAAGTTGAGGGCATCGAAGGGGGCGGTGTTGGCACGGGTTGCCTCGCAGGTGAGGGCCGCAACGCCTGCCCAAGTGATTCAGGACAGGAAGGAGATGTCAGTTTTGATCTTGACGGGGGGAAAGGAGGTACAGCAGTAGTTGCATGGGCGATGTTGATATGGATGGAGCCCTCCTCGTGGTTGATTGGGGGCACGTTCGAACACGGCATTAATTTCTCAAGCGGCCTTTTATATGCAACTCGGATAACGCCTGTACCAAGCCTCCGCTAGACAGTGGAGATGCTACGTGTTCGAGTGGGAGATAGAAAAAACCATGCATGTGCGGCATACAGGTAAAATGACTTCCCATCGCACGCCAAGAGACGCAAACAAACAAACTTCAGCGCCGCCAGTGTCACATACTGCGAGCATGGCATGTCAAATTGAGGTCTCACCGTCTGCAATCTCGATAGCATTGGAGGCGGCCGCAGCAGCCACGGCAGCTGTGCCGATCTGATCAAAGCGGCCTAGCTCCAACGTGCTTCCTTCGCGGGCGGTCAACGTCGTAAGCGGGGACAGCTCGCAGCTCGACAGCACCTCCAATAATGGCCTGCCCGACAGCGTGAACGTTGCACCAAACGCACGAGATACGTAGTCAGACTATGCAAACCACGTTATAGGCACGACATGCTACGTATTCACATATCAGCATCATCCGAGCTGTCAAAGCCACAAAGGGTACGGAGAGTCGTGCTGCACAGTATGATGCCATGATACCACCCGGTAGCGTCGTGCTGTTACTGGACAGCAGAATGATGCCAGCCCATAGGGCGAGGCATTCGCCACCACATCGGACCCTGCGCTACATAGATCTGGTTGGTCTTACGCCTACTTGTCTTCAGAATATTCCCCAGACGTTGCAACTGAAAAGCACCGATCGAGAGTTGGAGTGAGTGAGGTCTCGGTGAACATCTGTACCAATCTTACCAGTACCACGTTTTGCTCTGGCAACAACAGGCAAGATATCAATCTGCACGCTCACGACTGTTGTAGTCGAGGGATATCACCGGCTAGCTATTGGAGACGAGGCTTCCAGCATGGGAATAAACGCACCTTACTTCTCCCTTGAACAAGCACGATCCCGCTCCGAGCACCGCTCTGGCTAAAGAAGGACCTTCGCCCCCGTCCTTCGCGAGCAGGGGCGTGACCCCGTTGTTGAGCATGTCGCACAAGAGGGTCAGCACCTCCGGCCGCAAGCCCGAGCGGCCGTTAAGGAGAGACACGACCCTCGCGAAGATAGTGGCGCGGGCTGCAGTCTCCGAAAGGGAGGATTCGGCAACGGTCTCGCCAGCTCCGTCACTGACCACGGGTGAGCATTTGCCGTTCAACCGAGGTCGAAACGAGGGACACGAGAGGGATGGGGGTATGCACAGCGATGCAAGACAGCAGCAGTGTTGCGTTGCATGGTCAAAGTTCATCTGTAGAGCCAAAGTCAGTGCCACATGTGCGAGCCCAAACACTGCAATCGGCAACGAACGTAGGAAATAGCACCACCACCGGCACCCAGAAGGCATTAAACCATGGAGTTGATGGTCATGATGGTGCCAACCACTGCCGCACCGGCAACAGAGCCAGCGCCAGGAAACGTCTGCGGGCTCCGCACATCAATCACTGAGTGGCACATCGAATCTACAAAGACAGGCAAAGCAGCAATGATTTTACATCGAAGACGTCTCGTAGGCAATGATGTCTCGCCAGTCATGCGCACCTGAATGCAAAGGCCTTGTCTCCGCCGCGGGATGGTGTACTGGGTGCTGGGCATGCCTTGTCGAGGGATGCCGGGTGTAGGTCAACCCTAGCGCCGTGCACGGCCACCAGCAACACGTCCTCTAGAAGAACCTTCCTCGCTCCCACTGACACGGCCAGAGAAGCTGATCCTTCGGATGCCATCTTTGGTGCTGGTCGGGTGCTCTGAGCAAGAGCCCTGCTGCTGCTGCTACTGCTGCCGCCACCGCCCGGAGGTTTTGATGCTGCTGTGTTCTGGGCTGTTTTCGGCCAGTGGACCTTGTTGCAGCTTGAACGGGCGCCGAAGACAAAGAATCTATCTGTCCGCTGTACCTCTACGAGATCCAAAGCCATCAACGCTTACTCGAACAGTTGCAGGTGCGTCAAGGCAGAGCGCAACGAGGGAGCTGTGTGCTATCAAATGCTTTTGTGTTGTGCGAGGTACACACGTGTTGCTGCCATAGGAAAATAAAAAAAAGTAGGCCTGAAAGGAGACTAGGTACCCAGGGATAAAAAATACGTTCTGCGTAGCCCCTCTTCGTGCGCCGGGTGTGCTCTATGGAAGATGACAATATACAGAGAGCTTCGCTCTATATATTGTCATCTTCCATANCGTGCGCCGGGTGTGCTTGTCAGACACTGCTTTTCAGCACCAGCAGTACTCGACGCTCAGGTGGAGGACGGAAGTGAAACTCGGCAACAGGTTCAGGAACGTCACATAGTACATGCGTGACTCTTTTGATTTGGCAATATTGTCCTTGGGTGGGAGAAAACCGAGTCGTTGGCCTGAAGCCGTCTGGCGGCCTGTTTTACGCACCGTTGTTCCGCCGCTCTGTTTGGCGAACTTTGACGACAAGTTGACCCCCCGTAGAGTTGACCAAATGGGCCAGCGCTCGGAGGCTGGAGTGATCGATAAGCATAGACCTGATATATCGTTGCTAGAATTTTGGATCTGCGTTGTGAAAGCCTAAACAGAGCTTCGCGCACCGGTGCCTTATAACGCGGCGGAACTTCCTCAACAGACACAGCTGCTGCGTGCGGTCGCGAGTCGGTGCTGCCGCACCGGCCGCGTAAGCTATGAAGTGGTGATGCTGCACTCCTTACCACTCTTCAAAACACTCTTGGTTTAGTTTAACCACTATCGGTTTGTGTTCACCGATCCTGAACAGGTTGTATTCCTATGTCGGCAACTGGGACCCGGTGTACCGCATGCCTCAGTGGAGGAGAAGAACCTGCCTTCCGACACATGCGGGCAAGGACCAGCAGCCAAGTCCGGGATTTCGTAGACGAGGTCGGCATCGCAAACCAGTTTACGGCCTTGAACGAGGGGAACTTAGGCGTGATCACCCTCGTACTGTGCAGACGACCTGCTTGCTTGCTGCAGCTGTACAAAAAGCACGAGCAAAGGGCTAGCAAGGACCGGAGTAAAGACCGGCGAGCGCGCAAGGCAGCTCGGACGCCTCGCCATGCCAAGGGTTGGGTTGGTGCTCCTGAACCTCAAACGCACCTGAAGCGTCGGTGGCTTGATAGGTACTGCACTTCGCCTGAGGCGGTGGATGCTTTGCTGGGTGCTGTGGGTATCACGGGATGCGTTTTGGACATGTGCGGTGGGCCCACGGACGCCGTCGCGACCCGTCTTCGATCCACGTGCGAAGTTCTCACCAACGACGTGAGCTCGGGGTAACGACATTCTACCTCTGTTCAGTAACTTGAAAATATCCCGCAGGAAATTTCCTTGCACATAGACGTTCAGAAAACACAGGGGGCANAAGCGTCGGTGGCTTGATAGGTACTGCACTTCGCCTGGGGCGGTGGATGCTTTGCTGGGTGCTGTGGGTATCACGGGATGCGTTTTGGACATGTGCGGTGGGCCTAGGGACGCCGTCGCGATCCGTCTTCGATCCACGTGCGAAGTTCTCACCAATGACGTGAGCTCGGGGTAAGGACATTCTACCTCTGTTCACTAACTTGAAAATACCCCGCAGGAAATTTCCTTGCACATAGACGTTCAGAAAACACAGGGGGCAGCCGACAAAAAATCTTCTGACAACAGTTCAAATGTAAAAGTCATTCGACTGTATTGCGCATGGTAGGTTGTGCTCAGGCCCGACATGGAACGTGAACATCACGAGGTGGTACAGAACAGCACAAAATGTCCCTGGTTTTTCATGGACACGATAATTTCGCCCCCGATTCTTTCTGTAAGTTCGCTCCGAGTCGTTATTCCCCCCCCCCCCCCCCCGATATTAATCACCGTTGCTCACGTTTCATGGCTTGATTTTCGGTTTTGGCTGTTGCCAGAGGTGCCAAGTGCTCGGATTTGCAATGGTAAAATCTCCAGTTGACAGACAGGTTCTGGGTGCATGCCTGCAAAGGCCGTGTGCCCTTTTGACAGGCACGGGCCACGCTCCTCATAGCACGTATGGGGGTCTTTCTTCTCCCACAGTGGATGTCTTTGTTGAAGAGGGAGATTCTCACGCGTTTGGCGAAACGGCAACACCATGTTCGCGCATGATTATTTTTTTCCCGTATCATGTGCGCGATCGCTGATTTCTTGTATTCTGTTGTTGTCGATGCAGGCGTCCAGCGGATACCAACCTTGACGCAAGCTTGGAGTCCTTCCCGGAAGACTTTCTCGCAGCTAACTCCGGGAAAAGGCCTGAGTGGGTGGTGACTAGCCCTCCATACAACAATGCTCTGACTTTTGTCAAGGCCGCCATGCCGTTGGCGACGAAAGGGGTGGCGTTCAAAATGCCACTTTCTTTTCTGGAACCTTGCGCCGACCGGGGCGGTTGGCTGAAAACGAACCCCCCGTCTGTTTGTGTGTTTCTGCGCAGAGCGAAATACACGCGTGCGAACAATGCGAAGATGGGCGAATTCTGGGGTGTGTGGTATACTCAGGAAATGAACTGCGGCAACGGGACGAGGCTTGTTTTCTGTCCTGAATAGCACGGCTGCAGTTTCGACCCACGCATTGTCTGTAATTGTGACGTGCGAAATAGTTTAGTTGGGTTTGGACATGTGTACAAGGCGTGACGTGTCTAAGACATCTATTTCGGGGATGGGGGATAGTCGGAGATTGACGTGAGTCACCCCCGATCGATTTTTTTTTTTTTTCGGGGCGTGCTGTAGGCATACTTCCAAGCATACGTATGGGTGTGGCAGTATCGCGTGCACGACATGAGTTCTGGTGTCAAGGATTTGTTTTTTCTGCACTAAAGCGCTTTTTTTTTTGTTTTGCGTGTGTTGCTGTAGTCGCAACATGAAACAGGATGACTCGTACGCGCGTGCGTTNGGAGGCCACTGCCAGCACGTTGGTCACCATTCATGCAAGCTCCCACAATATGTTTTGCTCACCTGCACACGAACAAAAAACCGATGTCTCAAATGGACATTTCATTAGTCCCAGCACCCACAAGATCCAACGGTTGTCCTACATGATGCCGCCACGCGTTTTCAGCTATCTGCTCGTACTCACGAACGTCATCCTCCTGGAAACAACCTAAAACCAAGCCGCCACTAACACCCGACTCGGCGTTATTGTTCGAGACTTCAAACATACCCGGCAACTGTTCCTCGTCGCTGTCGCTGTCACTGTCACTATCTTCGCCCATGTCTACAAGTCCTCCTTCAGCTGAACGATCTTCCTGCATCTCACTTTCTTCCGTCTCTTCCTCGCGGCATTTAAGCTTGCACTTGCACAACTCTGAGCAATGGCCAAAACCTTTAGTGATGCACACGCAACTTGTGCAGTGCCCCCCTCGCTTCCTCTTCGCG